ATCTTGTCATTAATGTTTTTTAGAAGGGAAGACCATCTAAATGACCTAAGAATTATTTTTGAAAGACTACAACCATATAATCTTCTTAAAATGAACCCTCTGAAGTGTGTCTTTGGTTTTACTTTAGGGAAGCTTTTAGATTTCATTGTAAGACACTATGGAATTGATATCAAACCCAATAAATTTAAAGTATTCTTAAAATGACAACACCTAGAAGTCTCACACAATTGATATATTTTTAAGGTAAGTTAGCATATTTGAGAAGATTTAAATCAAATTTAGCTACAAGATGTCAATCATTCATAGACTTGGGCGAGAAAGAAGTTTTTTTTCAATGGGATGACAAATGTTAAAAGGCTTTCAAAAATATAAAATAGTATTTAATGAATCCTCAAGTTTGGGCAAACCCTATTCCTGGGAAAACATCAACTTTATATATATAAGATTTAAATAAATCTCTTAGTGCCCTTATTAGCTCAAGATAATGAGAAAGGAAAAGAGAATACACTTTATTATCTAAGTAAATGATTACTTCTAACTAAAATGAATTATTCTCAAAGTGAGAATAATTATTAGTTTTTTATCTTCATTGCTCAAAAGTTTAAGAATTTTATATTGTCTCTGAAATTTCATCTGATTTCCAGAGTAAATCTATTGCAATATCTTATGACTCATCTAAAATTATAAAGAAGATTAGCTTAGTGGTAGATGATTCTATAATAATTTGATATCACTTTTATTCCTTTATGTGCTATGAAAGGATAATCCCTAGTAGATTTTTTAGCAGCAAATCCAGTGCTTAGAAATTCTCCACTAAATGATGAGTATATCATGAACTTAGAAGTAAATAAAAGTTCTATCTATGAGTTTTACTTCGATGGTGATGAATCTTATAAAAAGGATAAAGGGTCGTGAGATAATTCCCCATGGAAAGCTAGAATTTGGAATAGTGTTCATCACTCCCGATAAATATCTATTATATTACTCTTACCATTTATCAGAACCTTATATAAATAATGAAGTTGAGTATGAGCTGCTAATAACTAGTTTAATGATGACAATCATAAATGAAATTAAATAAGTAAAGATATTTAGAGATTTGTAGTTAGTCATTAACCAAGTTGTAGGAATTTATAAAGTATTAAAGGAGAATCTAATTTTATATCACCAACATATGATGAAGCTTTTCAATTATATAATGAATGTGACTTTATATTAGATACCATATGGAAGAAATTGTATGGTGGATGGCCTAGCAAATCTTGTGAAGGAATTAACTTGTCTAAAAAAAGATTCCATCTTGGTAGAGATATAAGGCCTTAAGATCTTGTTGCCCATAGATTTAGAATACATAAAGAAGAAATTCCCAACTAAGGTGAAGATTATTCTTGCTATAGATTATGAAGTAGTAGTTTGGAGATAACCCTTCATTAACTACTTGAAAGAAAGCAAGCCCCCTCATAAAAAATCTATTGCATACTAAATTAAAAGAAGATCCTTATCATATACCTTAATCAATGACACCATATATCAAAGATCGTTCGATTAAATGTGATTATGTTATCTTAGTAAACCAATAGCTCGGAACATAGTAAAAGAAGTGCATACTATTTTGTGTGGAACTAACCAGTCCCAACCATAAATGAAAATAAATATTAAAAGGATGGAATAATATGGGCCTTCAATGATAAAAGACTGCATGAATGTTGCACGTCAATATCATCAATGTCAGGTGCATGGTGTAGTGTTATATCAACCACCAAATATCCAACTTCCAACTATTTCTTCGTAGCCTTTTGAGAGTTAGAATATGGACATCATATGTCCAATCGATCCACCTTCCTATAGAGATTATAGGTTTATTCTTGCAATAACAAATTAATTATCAAAATGAGCAGAAGCAATCCCTTTGAGAGAAACTAAAGCACATCATTTATTAAATTTCTTTAAATACCATATTATATACAAATTTGGTGTTTCACATTGAAACATATTTGATAATGGTCTATCATTTATAAGCACCAAAATAATAAATTTGTTAGATAACATAAAATTTATTGGAAATATTCAACCATCTATTACCCTTTGGCTAAGGCCTTCAATAAGACTTTAGTGTAAATTTTAAATAAAATTTTAGATGATAATAACCATCAAAGGCATGAAATGTTAGGAAAAGCATATGGGCATATCATTCCACATATAAAATACTAACTCAATCTAAGCCACTCGCTTTGTCTTAAGAGCATAAGCTATTCTCCCTCTACCCACAAAATAGTAATGAACTATATAGTAACCTCAAAATAAAATTTCATAACTCCAATTAGAATAGATCAAAAGTTTAAAAGAGAAGTGGTTGTAAGCTCAACAGAACCTCAACTTATATAAAGCATGTATGATTCAAGTACATAATAAAATAGTTCACCAAAGAACTTCCAAGTAGGAGACTTGGTCTTGGTTTTATGAAGACCCATTTTTCCCATCAAAAGTAAGGCGGTAAATTTGAACCAATGTGGGAAGGCCCATTCATGATGGAGAAATTATATCTATGATCCTACTAGTTGGTTGAGTGTAAAGGAGATCATCCTATATTGCCTGTAAATAGATGATATCTCAAGAGCTATTATGATGGATAATTTTTTTATTAAAAAAAAAATCAAATTAATTGAATAATTTATGGATGTAAAATGCCTGAATTTGTTAAAGTTTTGCAATGAAGTTGGTCCAAGTGTTGAGACTAGGTTTGATGAATTATACTAAAACTATTGAATTTTAAATTCCTAAGTGCTTGTTTAAATTATTGTTCTTAAGAATTGGTATATGTTTCCCTAGCAACATCCTTTATTTTTTAACTTTGATTAATTGGGTAATATTATCCCCAGTATTGTCCTGATCTACCCATTTAAATTTATTCATTTGGTATAGATCTGCCTTTTGAGCATCCATGGTAAATTTGTTCATTGAAAATAGATCTTCCATTTGAACATCCTTAAATCTATTCATTTGGGATAGATCTCCCATTCAAATATTCTTAAATAATCTTGTTTAGGATAGATCTCCCATTTAGATATAAATTTGTATTCTTAAGGATTGTTGTAAATTTATCTAGCGACGTTCTTTCTTTTGAAATATTGGTTGATTGGGTAATATAATCCCTGGTATTATTATGATCTGACCACTATAAATATGTTCATTTAGGATAGATCTCCCTTTTAAACATTCTTAAATCCATTAATTTGGGAGCATACCCTCATTCAAACATCCTTTAATTTATTTTTATTTTTTTGGATAGATCACCCAATTAGGTATAAATTCTTACTCTTAAGGATTGATATAAGTTTCCTTAGCAGCATTCTTTTTATTTGAATTTTGGTTGATTGGGTAATATAATCCATGGTATTCTTTTGGCATAACCATCTAAATTCTTTTGTTTGAGAGCAACGTCCCATTCAAATACTCTTAAATTTGTTCATTTTGAAGCAACCTTTCATTTGAACGTCCTTAAATTTACTTGTTTAAGAGTGACATTCCACTCAAGTAGAAATCTCTTTCTCAGTGCCTCAATCTGGTTGGGTGAGAATCACGCTAACCTCTTTCTCTATTTTGATATGGTCAAGCGAATGTTAGACTCCTTTCTATCTTTTGTTCTGCTATTTCGATATGATCAGACAAACATTAGATCTTTCTAAATTTATGTCATGCTATTTAGATGTGGTTAGGAATATGTTAAATCTTTCTTTGATTCTTTCTCACTGTTTCAATATGGTTAGGCGAGTAATGAATCTCCACCTTTACTATTTCAATATGGTCAAATGAATGTTTGGAAATTTCATTCTTCCATTTAAATATTTATCTAAATTTATTTATTATGGATAGATCTTCCTCTCAAACATCTTGCCAACTTAAATCTATCCGATTGGAATGATTTCCTTGCCAGATATTGATTGATTAAATTTTCCTATTTATGATCATTTCCTTTCAGGTATTTTTTACTATAAATTGCAAAATTACTAGAAACTTTTTCCTTCTTTTTATTCATATTTCAGCTTATTTTATCTGGTAAGAAAGAAAAAAATAAATTTTATGAATAAGGCACCAAATGACCACTCCTTGATTAAAAAAATTCTATTTGTCATTAGATATAAAAGTAAAAGATGGATAACGGAGACTATTGTCCTTAGCAATATAACTCAATTATTTTTAATGCAACTCATCTTTTTTTTTTTTTTTTTTTTTTTTTTTTACCGCTGGGATTGTTTGTCAGAAGCCTCATTGCATTTATATTATTTGTGGTTATTACAATTTCTAGATGTATGTGGAATATTTTATTCGGATTTGTGATTTTTAGTGGCATTATTTATTATTTTCTTGTCTGAGTTAATTTTTTTGTTGTTGTAAGGGGAATCTTTTTCTCTTGTGCATTCCTCTTCTACACAAATTTAATCAATTTATTTATCTTTCTAATATTTGCTAATGAATTTTTTCATTATTTATTGGTATATAGAAGTGTATGATTGGTCGATATTTGTGGAGCTTTTTAATGAAATTTACAAAGGAATTACATGATAGGCAAATGAACTGGAGAATGCTCTCTTTATGGAATTCTTTTTGTTGTATCTTTTTTTTTCACTAATATTACCCTAGTAGATTATCATATTTTATCTATCAAATATAATTATAATCTCTATAATTTTTTTGGGATTTGATGATGCCACTTAGATCAAACAGCATATTTATATCAAATATTATTTTTGTGACCATAACTATCAGATCACTAATGATTTATCAAATTTTAGGGGTTTCATTGCCCAAATTCAAAATCTCTTTTTATAATTTTTGTATCTATCAAATATAATTATAATCTTTATGAATTTCCTTTTTATTTCTTTTGTGCCTTTTAATAGCTCTTCCTATATAAATATTGTAATTCCCACCAACACTACCCCCGCGCCCGCGCCTGCGCCCGATAAAATCATACACCAAATGAAATGAAGATAAAAAGGTTAAAAGATAAGAAGGAAATACTTAGAAAACACTCCCCACAAGCGTGCATTTAACACTTCAAGAGTAACGAATTTGTAAAAAGCGATTTAAGAAAGCACAATGAGCCAACAAGCATCCATCCATAATCCTTCTAAGGTGTTTCTGAAGCATAAACAATGCTGGACACTAACTTTGACACTGTAAGAAAAAATTACTGCTACTTCAGTGTTTTGCATCTTCTTCTTCGCAAAACTTGGTGTACTGATCAGAATCCATCAAGGACTTCAGTTCAGTCGAATCGCTTATCTGAACTTTTATTATCCATCCATCTTTAAAGGGGCTGGCATTAATCTGATTCACAAAATTACATTACTGAAGTAATAATCTAGGGGAGTAAAGAAGATCAAAAGACACATGACTAATAAAGACGAATACGATGACTCATTCGGATACTTGAAGTTATAAGTTTTGAAAAGACTGTTTTAAAGCAATCATTTGGTTGGATATAATTAGGAACTAACAATGATATCACACTCAACAAATCTCTTCAAATTCCTCTTAAAAAGATTTCAATTTCCCACTCAAAATGAGCAAAAATAAAATCCTCACAATTCAAAACATATTTTGCATCTAAAAGCAACAAAATGAACCCTAGCTTAAGAAAAGTATGAAATTCTATCATGACAAGCAGAGCATACGGATCCTTATAAAACAAATAGCAAATAGAAGTTGCAAAGGAATCAAACAACCTATGCGCTTGTGACAATGAACAATTTTAAAGGTCATCAAAATCCTTATCATAGTTAGGATAGAAAAAGAAGTGTAAGATGGAAATTCAGTCGTCAAACCTTAAAATTATAAATGAGTACAGAAAAAATATCTCCGAGGTAGAAAAACATCAAAAGTTTTCCAGAACCTGAATTTATAACGCTGAAGAACAAAAATACTTGTAAGTATAGCATAAGGATCTGAGGATGATAGAAGGCCATATTATTCTTCACTTTTATAGTGTGTTTATCCTCATCCCTCAATTGATCGTCACCACACATTCATTCTTCACAGCTCTCACTCTCTTTCTAGCAGTGCTCACTCTCCTCCTCCACAATGCTTGCACTCCTTGCTGCAGCACTTGCCTCCTAGCTGTAGCGCGCACCTCCCATAGTGCTCGTTCTCTTCTCAAATTGCAGTATTCGATCTCCAGTCAAAACTCTCTCTCTCTCTCTCAAACCCTTGAATGAAAAATTTGTCAACCATGCTCAAAATAAAAGGAACTTAAGCCTAGATGGGCCATTTAGGCGCCTAATGGTGAGGTGCACCTCGAGTTTGACATTTCAAACGCATTCTAAAACCATAATACTGTTGGATCTTTATATCTATTTATAAATGCGGAAATGTAAATTAGGATATTAGAGAAGTAAATTGAGACTTTCTCTGCTTTAATTTTCTTAATAAATAATTGTTTTAAAATAAGAAATGAAAAAAAAAAAAAAAACTTATTAAAATATTGATTGAGATCGTAAATCTTCATCTTCGAAATGTTGATTGATACCACAAGTCTTCTTCTTCTAATCACCTCACTAAATATATTTTATCATGTGGGCACAATCAATCAATTATTGATGAATACTCTTTTTTTGAATGTAATTTGTGTTCTTAACATAATTTCATCCTTCAAAAAGAAAAGACTAATAGACTAATTTTTTTCTCATCTATCATCTTTCATCTCTCTTGTAGAATTTAATTCAATCTTTTATAAGAAAAATTCACATCTTTTAAATTAGAACACCTCTTTTCATAAGCATTTTTTTGTAAATCATAAAGCATCTTTTTATTCATATTAAAATGATAATTATCATAAAACATCATCATCTTTATCTATAATGAGATATCATCATCTTTATCTTTTAACATTAAAAGATATTTATCATGACACATCATCATCTCATGAAATTATATATATATATATATATATATATATATATATAATGAATAAAATGTGATGAATGAATGTGATCATCTCATGAAATTTTATATGATATAATAAAAGGTGTTCTTATAACATAAAGCGGTGACTAATGTAATCATAATTTAACAGTTATATTATGCCAAATTCTTAACAATGATGTTCAATTAATATATAATAGTGCTAAGGTGATGACGAAGGGACCTATGAACTTATAATTCAAGCTCTAATAAATTTGACCATTAATTTAAATCTTAAACTAATAAATTAAAATTATTAATTTCAATATTATTCCACTATAAATATAAAATTGAACTATTGAATTTATAGTATAATTTACTCAATTTAAAATTTGAATTGTTTATTGATTTAATCATTACATATAAAATAATCTTCCATAAAAAGTTCATAATTAGAGCTAAGTAATTCCGTCACCTCACTAATTATATTTCAATCCTTGAATTTCAATTAATTCTCTAATGAATGATAAACTTTGTGACCTCATCACAAAATTTGAGCGCTCAATTATTTAGGTTATAAATTAATTATTCAAGTGAATTAATTTTCTAACATTCAAAATTAAAAGAAATGGATTCTATATATGTACATTAACATTCCAAGTCATTTGTTCCATTGTGTTTATGAGATACAACAATTCAGTTTGTATCTTCCAAACTATTTCCAATTAAGTCAAGAAACCAAATATCTCAAAAAGGAGTTTATTAATAACTCAAGATTAAGATTGTTTATATATGATCATATTTATGATTAATTTAAATTCTCTCTAGTTAAAACATAATTTATTAGAGAATTCAAAATTCATATGGTCCATCTCTATATAATCATATTATATAAAGTACTTACATCTTTAATATCTATATATATCAAATAATCCGAATAAGACTATTGCATTCTTAATGTTAATAAACCGAACTAATAATATTTAATTATAGACATCAACTATAATTAAAAATTATGAACTTGTTTAGATTATTATCCATAATTCAATCCTCTTGTATATAATAATATATTGAATTATAGTTACATAAATAATGGAATAAACATAATAGTAAAATATTATATCAAATGATGATATCAATACATACTAAACTTGTCTTTAAATATTTATTCAATAGAAAATATATTATAATAATATTTCTTTAGGGCACATTTTCTAATAAATAAAATGAAAAAATAAGTATGTAATGACCTTTCCATGAGGTTTTTCTTAAGGTTCTTAGAGAGTTTAGAGGTCTTATTGCCTAAGATGGCGAGCAACTCAATCTATCATTTTTTTTTTGTGACGAGTAGTCTCTCACTACTTTTTATTTTATTGTAATATGTTGATGTGCTGACCTCTAAGTAAGAACTTTCACTTAATAATAAAAATTTTATGCTTGGTCGATCAACCTTTATTATAATTTTTCTATTTATACTATGAATACTTTGTTTATAATGTTTTGGTAAATGTTAATTGTATATAATATTCTCATGAAAACTTTATTTTTTGATATCACAGCAAGCACCTACATCTCTGACATCATGACGAGCTATAATGTATACAGTCTAGATAACAAGTAGAATACTTAGAATATTTCAATAATTTTATTTTGCTTCACTACGATGAGTAGGAAACTTTGTTACACTAGTCATTGAGTGGCAACTTGACGTAGATGAACGACTTCACTATGTACGGAATTGAATGGAAAGATGTGTGGTTAGTGATCCATGGGCAAGTGTGTCATAAGTGACTTTTGGTTGCTACTCGCTAGGGAGAGTGAGTAGGGATCCACTAAATCTCCAAGTAATGAGGACATAGCATTAATTAAAACATTTGATTTTCTAAATGATTATATTCAATGATTAATTTTGTATTGTATGAGATAAGTGGCAATTTTAAAAATTCTAAAAAACAAGTGGGATTAACTTACCTAAAATCAAAATTGAAAATTTGCACAACTAATCGTATAGTACATTGCAGATCGTACTGATGATCAACTATTCAAATTCAGACCATTTAAATCTTGAATTTCTAAAAATAGGTCAATTCAAAATTTGAACTATTCGTACGAGATAAACTTGTTCGTAAAGCATGAGTATTCACAATATATAATGAATAACCTATTTTGGAATCTAAAATCAAAGGTATGAATCATAATTGATTTCGAGCAGTAGAATCTCCATCATATATAGTACAAACAAATAGAGAGTATATATGGCTAGAATCTTGTTGGACAGGTTGATCAAATGCTCTTATTCGCCATCCTTATGAAGATCGTACTGTACGATACCTATCGTATAGTCTGAATAAACAAAGAGCTTGTTCGAACGTACTTCATTTAAACAACATGATTAGGTTCCATAAGTCAACATAGTTATTCAGATTATAATATACGATCATCGATTAGACTGTACAATATGCCCATCAAATTTACTATATTAGGATTTTTAGGAGCTTAATATATATATACCCTTTTATATTCTTTTAAGCAAAGAGAGAGATTGCCTCAGGCCTTCTTAGGAGAGAACAAGAAAGTTGCGAGCAAGCTTTTATGAGGACCTTACTCTATTATGTGAGTGAGAGAAGGAGAGAAGGAGGGGGGGGGGAGATTGTGAGGGATCTCTTGAGAGGGTATTCAAGAGATCGGGTTCCACAAGATTATTCTACCTGCTCTATGTCATTTTTTCTCAATTGTCATAAAGTAAGGGCTCTTGGGTGCGGTGCAAGAGCTCATGATAGTATTTAGAGAAACCTATTGTGTTAGCACGAGACTAGTGGTGAGGCATCTCCGTCATGCTAGGTGTAGAAAAAGGGTATCTTTCAGAGGAGGGTATCTTTCGAGAAGAAAATGTGTAAGGGTGTTCTTCAGTCCTTGTGAAGGAGAAAGACTTATTTGTCGTGCTGGGAGAAAAAGCAGTTATTAGAAGAATACCTAGGGAGTGGGCATATGTTAAGTTAATCAAACAACTATAAAAATTATGATAAGCTTCTTCTTTTCCATGATATTTTACTTGTTGTATATTTTATCAATATTACTTAAGATCTGAATTGGTTGCAAGCATTATTACATTCAAAATAAAAAAATTAAAACAAAAATTGTGCTATTAAAAGTTTATAGTGCTCAAATTAAATTCTCTTTAACACTATTTTGTTAAGTTTATTTGATCTCAAGTACATTAACAATATCGATTTAAAAGCAAGTATTCAAAAGATAAATAGATGCCAAATGAGTTGAGATTGAGTGTGTTGATTCCTATTTTTAAGAATAAAAGTGATAGAACAATTGGAAGAGTTGATTTCATCATTGAACTGGTTAGTGGAGCAGATCTTGTTGCTAAAGCCCCTTATAGGATGGCCATAAAAGAGCTGAAGGAACTGAAAGAACAA